ATGAATGGGAAGTGATCTACATCACCTCCTGTTCATTCATGATTGTGGTTATAGTAAACATACTCTGTCCTCATGTTATGAATGAACAGGAACACTCAGTATAGAGGCTTCAGGTTAATTTATAACTGGGGATACAGAAAAAGAGATTGAGGACACAAAGTCTTCTATCTCTTTTTCTATTTTCAAAGAGAAATATCAGGGGTCTGTTTAGACCCCTTATATTTTCCTAAAGCCCCTTTTAAAGTAAAAAATAAAAATATTTAAAACAAAATCAATTAAATAAAAAAAAATAAGTTTAGAAAAAATAAAATAATTAAAAAAAAAATTTTGGTTTCGGCCTGACAATTTTTTTAATTTCGGTTTTGTTTTTGAAATTTCCATTTCGGTGCACCTCTAGTTTTAATCCTTCCCCACTCTATCCAAACCTAGATCTTGACATTCCCTTCAAGGAAGAGCAGGGGAGGGGAAGGATTTAGTAAAAAAACAATGAAAATTCTTCTTAAAAATGCTTGGAAGTAAATGAACAGGAAGTCAAGGGATGTCTCACAGCAAAGACATGGATAGTGGTAAAACCTGACAGGTTCTAACCCTTCATGTTCTACTAAAAGAAAACCAAACATTTTGGTGTCCCTTTTGCAGAGATTTCCTCTCATTTCCTTCCTGTCTTATTGATCCAAGTGTGTTGTCTCAAAAAACATATTTTAAATTGTAAAAATTTCTAATTTGCCATTTCTAACTTATACAGACGTGGCCTTGTGTTCGGACTCTGGAGTGCCTGCGCATCCGTTGGAAATATTTTGGGAGCATTCCTTGCATCATCTGTTCTAACATATGGCTATGAGGTACGTGCCGACTTTAACATTGGTGACATAAGGGCTGGGTTTATACATTTCTCCTGGAATATTTTTTTATGTATGCTAAAACTTCAGGACCATTTGTAGATGAAAGGGCACTGCAGGCCCAATTATGCTAGAGGATGGACAATCTTTTTAGTTGGTGCTAGCTAGTAAAAGTCTCTTTCAGTGTTGGTCTACAGAGAGGGACTGTGGGATGGCTGTCTTGTAAATACAAGATGCTATTTTTAGGGCTGCAACAACTAATCGACATAATCGATTATAATCGATTATTGAAAAAGTTGTCAACTTTTTCAATAATCGATTAATCGGCTTCCGATCAGTTGGCCCTGTTCACGACTCCACACGCCACACCTCCTCCCCACCTCATGCTCGCCGCTGCCAGACCCGCCCGCCCCATCCACGATCTTCACGCCGCACCTCCTCCGTGCCTCACTCTCACCGCCCGCCCACATCCACGATCGGCACAGGGACGCGGGGAGATGTAGTAAGGAGGAGCAGGTGTGGGGGGATGACAGCTGCCGATAGACAGGTCCGATCTCAGAAGCAAGTTGCTGGAAGACTGCTCAGGTAAGCCTGCACTTTCCCCCCACATGGTGCTCTATAATATATTGCTGGGATAGTGGGATTTGTAGTCCTCTATAGCTGATGGTACATTGTGCTGTATATTATACAGAGCAATGTACCATCAGCTATAGAGGAATACAAATCCCAGCAATACATGGGATTTGTTGTATTCCTAAATAGCTGGTGATATTCTGCACTGCGCTGTATAGAGGACAACAAATCCCAGCAATAATACATTATACAGCGCCATGCGGAATACCGCCAGCTATAATATACTATTGCTGGGATTTGTTGTATTCCTCTATAGCTGGTGATATTCAGCACTGCGCTGTATAATGTACTATTGCTGGGATTTGTAGTCCTCTATAGCTGGTGCCATTCTGCATTCATTGCTGTATAATTTTACACTTTCCTTTTCACTATATTGCACACCACACTTTTTTTTTCTTTTTTTACCTCCACCGCTCCAAGCTTGCTCCTGTGATGGAGTGCAATCTCAATACAAACTAGTAGTCCATCACTGGAGCCACTTAAAAAAAATTATTTTATTGTTTATCCGATTAACCGATTAATCGAACTGAATAATCGGCTAACTAATCGATTTTGAAAATAATCGTTAGCTGCAGCTCTAGCTATTTTAGGAGCTGGCCCTTTCTCTAATAGTGCCAGCTTTGTCCATATTTGTGATCCAGGAAACCTAATAAAGCTGGATGTGGCTAGTTTGAGACCTAAACGTTTTTGAACTCTCACTACTTGTAAAAAAGAAAAATATAGATCTATATCTATTAGAGCTGCAGCTAACGATTATTTTCAAAATCGATTAGTTATGATTAGTTGTTGCAGCCCTAATATCTATATATATTTATTATTATAGTGTGCGTGTGTGACCATCTACCTGAAGAGACTCAAAACCAAGCCTGCTTTGTCATTACACAAACCTTTGTGCCCTTGTTAGAGGTTATTTACTTGAGTAGTTAGTGTATCAAAACCCAAGAACAAAAATGTAATACAGCCGACCAGTCCTTGGATGTGCATTAGGTTTCTTTCTTTTAGTTTTTTCTTTCTATTATTTTCACCATAACACACTTCCTGTCCTAGAGTGACAATGCTCACTCCCTGTACAGTATCTATGAAGGAGTAGCGTTGTCCCCTTAGGTCAGAAAGTGTGTTAGAGAACACCTCCCTATCTCCACATCTGCATAACCTGAAGCACAGGGAGTTATCATCCCACAAGATTTCTGGCAGGACCAACAGGTATTTTTTTGCACTCATCATAAAGATATAACAAAATGGTTTACATGGTATATTTTGCAGACCAAAAGTGATCAAAAAAGAGAAGTTCCCCGTTGAGGTTTAAACATTTGTTTAATGTCTAGTTTCTGTTTCTAGACAAACCTCTAAGTATTTTGTCCATTTTTATTTATTTTTTTCCCCTAGTATGCGTTCCTGGTAACGGCGTCTGTGCAGTTTGCTGGTGGAATAATCATCTTCTTTGGCCTGGTGACATCTCCTAAGGAGTTGGGTAAGATACATGGAGTGTGTGTGGGTGGGGGGGTACAGGGTTGGGGGGGCATTTACTAAAAGTGGAGCTGACACAATCTGGAGCAGCTGTGCCTAGTAACCTATCTTCAGCATGTTCAGTTAAGTCTTGAAAATGAAAGCTACAAGCTAATTGGTTGCCATGCACATCTGCACCAAATTTTGTCTGCTCCAGTCTTAGTAAATTCCCCTCATTGAGTTGTGGAAATGTGAGGTTTCTGCATAGACAAGTTCTGTTATATGGCCCAGCATTGATGGGCTTCTGTAGTGCTTCTCCCCCCTCCTACAAGTCTATGGAATTCTGAAGCAGCTGAAGCAAGTCAAATGCAGGTCCGCACCACCTGCAGCGAATTCCGGATGGTCTCAAATGGATGCGAAAAGCACGCTGAATATGCCCACCAAAGCCTGTCGACACTGGCCCTAAGAATGTCTCTTTACTACAGGTCTACCAGATGCCGGAGAACGGGAGGGTGAGAGCGGAGACCAGGAGGAAGAGGCTAACCGACCTCTAATCAGTGAAGATAATGAGGTGGATAGTGATGCAAATGATTCTATCCAGGCTCGGGATACACCCAGTGCACCTAAAGCGATCAGTTTTGTGCAAGCCTGCTGTTTACCTGGAGTGCTGCTGGTAAGAACCAATTTTTTTCAGGCCTAACTCAAGCGTGGGGAAGCGTTATAATTTCTGTGAGGTTCCTTTTTTTGTTTGTGACCCCGACCAGGGAGATTTCATTTCACTTTCTGTCTCTGTGACACCCATACAAGTAACATGGTGTTATGGGTGTCACCGAGAGAGAAAGGCACGGGCAGCAATAAAAGCATTGGCAGAAGTTCTAACCCTTTTTTTCACTCTACTAATGTGTTTTTGTCCATATCCAAGTTGCAAATGAAATATCCAATAATAGACCTGCCTGCAACGAACATGGTAAATACCTCTCACATCACCTGCTCCATCAAATGCTGCTCTCATGCAGGGGCATAGTCTGTTCAAATGTCTTCAAAAACCAACACTTCTGGGAGGACGGTCAGTCGTTTGGACCCCCACTGCTCAGTGGCTCCATTCACCAACCCTGATGCCACTATAGGACACAATAGTGATGTAGTGGTTGGTGGGAAGAGCCATTGAGCATAGAGGGAGACCAAGAGATCCACACTCCCAGAAGGGTTGGTTTCTGAAGAGACTTGAGCAAGCATTTCTTCACTGGAGGGGCGTACAGCAGGAGAGGTGCACATTTCATTTCTATTTGCAGGGAGCTCTTTTGGTGGAACTTCAGTTTTAGCAACAGATCCAAAAGTCTTAACATTGGCGAGGTAGTTATTAATAGTTATTCAGTTGATAAAAACTTTCTTAGTCTTGCTTATATGATGTAAAATTTGCTTGGTGAATGTGCGTCTATTAGAACTGATGGATAAGAATTGTGGGATCTTTTTTTGGTGACGCTCCTCATCTGGCAGATACTTGCTAGTTGTAAAGGGCAGATGTCCACTGGAAAAATAGGGTTTGCCAGGTCAGTGGCAAGGTATAAAAATGGCATCAAATGCCAAACCGGTGCAATGAAAGGGTGTGGATGGTCAGAGTTTGAGCTGTCCGCTGGCAATCCATTCCACAGGGGAGATGATTCAGAAACCTTGAGGTGGCAGCATTGAGCTCTGTATCTGCTGTCCAGCTATGCCAATGCTATGACTGATTATAGATGTGCTAAGTAATTGTAACATAACACTCCCTAATCCTTTACAGCGGGGGAGGGTGGGGGGGGGTGAATTGAATTTCAAGGAGGTCCAGTGAGTAACATTTTCATAAAGCAGAGGTTTGAATCACGGTCCAGACAGAACGGTCACTTAGGCCGTGTCCATATCACTGTCTGCCATTTAGGCTGCATTACAACCCACAATTGCTGGTGTGTGTTCCTAGGCACAGTGCTGTGCTGACAAACACTGCTGTGTATTTTTTTTTTCTTTCTAAAGGTTGCCATACACTTTACAACCATCGCAAGACCTTAGTCTTGCGATGGTTGTAAAGTAATTAAAAAACGTACGATCTGCCCATCTTGGACAGGCAGATCGTACTTGCGATCATCGCAAGCCGGCCCCGCTGAGCAATGCTGAATGGGCAGTGTGCGCGTGTGCACACCGGCCCGTTCGGCATTTGTCTCCCGAGCATGCCACAAACCAGCCGAAAATCGTAAGATTTTCGGCTGGTTTTCGAACATGCTCCTTAGACAAAAGACATGCGACCATACAGTAAAAACGGTTGCACGCCTGCCATACACTTTGCGATAATCGCATAGTGTATGGGCACCTTTACAATCAACCCCCCTGTTTACTTGCAAATCCATGCCTTATGCACACCTTGTCATTCAAATCATATGACAGGGGCAGCAGGGTTGGGTTTAAAAAAAATTTTTTTTTTACTTCTCCCCCTTTTTTTTTTTTTTTACTTTTGCCATCACAAAGGGACTAACAAGCCCCTATATAGCAGCATTTTTTGGAGGTGACATGTTCTCTTCTTGGAGACATAAGAGACCCCCTATATATATGCCCTCCAATACATACGCTCAAACACAAGATTGTGCTTGATAGTCTATTTAACCGTTCTTCAGCCGGGTTTTGACAGCTCTGGAACAGGAAGTATTGAGAGAACAGCACCTACTGCTTCATTCATCACAAAGCAGATCGGGGATAGGACGTTCCTTGGCCTTCTCCAGCTCTCCATCCTGCGGAACCCCAAAAACAGGTGTGGAGGGGGAAGTCCAGGCCCACCCTCTCATCGGGCATATGCATGATAAACACTGGCCAGACATGGCTGCCCTCACAGATGACTTCAGTTGTCCTTTCTTCTGGCTATGAGCCAGGGAAGGATTTATACCATAATGGTGCTGACAGAGTGGCTATAGGGGGTAGGAAATGGTTACTGAAAGGACCCGGCAGCATGTCGTCAGGGGGCGGCTGCAAGAACCTGGAAGAGACAGCCAGCTCCCAATCATGTCAGAGAGAAAGATAGCAGCGTGGGACCTGGCTTGCAACGGTGGAGTGGCAGATCACTGGAGGACAAGGCTGGATTCACTGTGTGGGTTAGTATGTTGAGCATAACCCAGCAAAACAGGTAAGAGGGGGTTAAAAGCAACAATAACCTGGGGGGTGGGGGAGGTGAAGTGCTTCTTCAAATGTATATAGTTTGTCTTGTATGTAATACTGTAAC